AATAGTCCTTTTTGGTTCGATTGGTATCTTTGTCAACAACCAGAAGAATAGTCACTTATATCCAAGCTTTTTCAAATTTTACATTAAACAGTACTAAACAGTACTATGTTTATTAACACGCTCTAAAGGTAACTTGCTACTCTATAATTTAAGCAGAACATCCTTGTTTCCAAATCAACTTTGTAAATTAATTATCTGAACAATTTGGGACACGATTTCAATTATAATTATTTTTAGATAGTCCGTCAACAACATATACTGAAGAGTTCATTAGACTTTCGTAGTCAGTCATTATAAAACAGGACTGGACATTGCGACACTTGTGCGACGCTCTCCAAATTTTACACCCTTAAAATTTTTTGATTGTAACCAATCTTTTATCTTACCAAATGACCAAACAGGAAGTCATTAACGATCAGGATGAGCCGACATGTAGCTTAAGACAAGAATTCGATGCGATGTTCTACTGTTATAGTGAGCCATCGTACAATGTTCTACTGCTATCAGCAAAAGTATTGATTAAAGTAACCATTATTTATGTATTCCCTTGATCATAGGCATCGGAGGCCAAGCAATCAACTACTATCGTTATGGTACGCGCAAAGACTGTAAGCGATATCGAGACAATCTCAGATTTTGTTGGCGAACGAAATTCATGGATTCTGAAGAGAAGAAGGTATATACATATCCATTAGAAATCACTCTAACTTATTATGTAAGCTCGAGGTTTCAAACATCCCGTTTTTACTAATTATGGCAGAAAGCATTCAAAGAGCGCGCAGAACAGAAAGAGAAAAAGGTGAAAGATGGACCTAATTGTCTGGACATCTGGGAATTGAGGGAGTTAAGTATTGTTGTAATGTCAGATAACATCAGAAGAGTTGTTCAATTGATTTGTGTGAATTAGGCAACCACCAGTCGATTTTCCGCCGGTCGTTGATTAAGTCATCTGAAACTATTTATGATAAAGTTTCTTGTTCAAAGAAGATGATTACAAACCATGATGATAACTTGACATTAGCAAGTTTTCTTGTCACATAAGTATTTATTCTGATTACTCAAGTAGACAACGTTTTTGGAAAAATTCATTTCGTCTGCTATCAACCAAGTCGGATCACATAGATGCACTGGGCATTATTTTTATCCCATTGTTCGTTTGGCTTGTACGCTACAAAAATAACTGAATCCCAATATCTGAGACATTATTTGCGTAAAATTTCTCGAACCCTTACAATTCTGCTCTATTTGATCCTATGGCAACCAATTCAACGTCAAATACCAAAGCCGCGTTTGCTATTAAATACACAATATACCAATATTAATAAAAAATAACACCACATCAACATAGATCAATAGACTTTATACAAAATCGTGTTACCAGGAATAGACGGAGGAGCTCCGCGTTCACCATATCCTAATTCGGCTGGAATAATGAGTTTTCTTTTTTCTCCAACGCACATGCTATACGGGAATGCTTTACGTTATTACGGTATCCAGCTATAATAGCGTGTAAATAACACAGCGATTACTTACCCACGGATTCCTTGATCCCACCCTAAAAGAAAAAAAAAGGGTGAGCAAATCAATGAAGCAGACGTCATTTAATTTCCAGATATAATCCGAACGGTTCAAGACTTCCATTAATTAATGGATAACATACCTTTGATCACTTGACCGACACCTGTTGTAAAACATAGACTTTTGTTTTAGCATTCCACAGACTATTTAATTCATCAGCTTCTATTTCTTATAAATTTACATAATGCGACATACCAAGTGTGAATTTAAGAGGTTCGTTGCGTTTGCGACTAGAATCAAATTCTGTCCCGTCCTCAAAGAGAGTTCCAGTATAATGTACTGATACCTGATCTCTTTCAAACGTTGAACCAATTAGCGCTAACATCATAAATGTTTACTCACGATCATTGATCTCGCTTACCCATCGGTGGCTTTTCTGTTACATTGGCCTTCCGACACTCTATTCTTGATACCTGATAAGAAATGTGATGTATTAGAACCCCATCATCTTTACATAACCCATCTCATCACGTACCAATTTGAAGCTTTTTGGGAGGTTCCTTGGTAGCTACAAAAGTGCATGTAATGAGAACAATTGCGATAACGTATAAAACTCGACGCATTATTGATGGGAATGTGACAGCATCACTTGCAAGCGAAGTCTTTTTATAGTGTAACATTATTGATTTATTGTAGGACAGCGGTGAACATTAGTGTGATCAACACGTGGGTACCATGATTAAATTGTTATAATAACAATTTTGTTATAGGTGGCAAGATTGCATATTTATTGTTAGATAATTGAATGTTATCTATTGTCTCAGTTAACGTAAGCAATCGATAAATCGACTCCAAAATTGTCTTTTTGACTCTTGTCCAGTCCATGTTTGTCATCCTGGCCGTATTATAAATTAGGCACTGCAACGATAGATTTTGGTCATTAATAATAATGATAAGCAATTTCCTTAACGAAGGATTGGGTAGAGAATAGTTTTGTTATCTTTAGTCGTTTAATATACACTCGTCTAACGAATTAACACAACGCTTGTTGCACTTGTTTCGTATTACTAACACTAAGCTAATTTTCCGCCTAATTCGCATGCAAGTCGCGCGAACTATGCATCAAGTAGTCTTGGTTCTTCGTCTCTTTATCAATTGGCCGGAAAACGCGTAACTGTAATGAAACTAAGAAGGTGATTCATTTGTGAATCGAGCATTCAAAGAAATACCAAACATCAGACCCTCCAAGGAACCACATCTTCTTTTTTTAAACTTTCACATAATGATTACCGTCCTATGACGCCATCGTTAGATATTTAAACGTTAACAAGATACCGTTTTCAATCTCTGATGCTGGAATTCTCCAATGATTAAAAATATCGTTGTCTCGCGACGAGCAGTATATTTCAGTCGCAGTTTTCTAACAGACTTTTATTACTAAATAAGTCGCGAATAAAAAAGTCTGGTGTATAAGACCCAAGGGTATCTTGTGTATGGAAAGCTATGATATTATAATTTATACTATACCTATGCTGACAGCGTTTGGAGTGGAAATAGACGATTGGTTCAAATTATTTTGCACAAACACTGAACTTGAAATAATCTTTTGGTGATGACCGTGTTGGGAAGAATGTCGTGAGTGAACAGTTCACAAAAGATTTGCCAAAGATTTGGGACTACATGCAACATGTGTACTGGATTGACTGAACAAAATGCGAAGACTTTAAACGTTCATGTCCTCTGAAACCGCTTCGTGCGCGTCATCTTAATTTATTTCAAACAAACAACTATTTGCTGTACAAAAATATTATTCCATCCATTTGCCCTTTAGCTAGGGGAAATATTCGAACACCAAACGAATTTCTCCATCGGTCTTGTTATTCTTTGCGGGCAGTGAGACCCATCGTTCTTCATAAAAATCTTTATAGATATTACTGATGTCCACATCAACTGCGCCGATTACTTCATCCGCGCCTACGTCATCATCCGAGAGACGTAAATGGAGTATTTTATCTGTGGATGGGTTGACATTGCTGAGAAAACGAATTAAGTTATTGTGTGGCTTAGGAAATTTGACGAGATGATGGAACGTACAATCTGTATCGACTATCCCAAACTGGCGTCAGCGTATTGTTTCTAGCTTCAGTTCTCTTTTTA